TCAGATCGTACCTCTCACACTGCCACCACTTCATTTCCACAAACGGTTTCTCCTCTAGCGCCCACACCAACTCATGCGGCATTCCTCAGGGCTCCTTCCTTGGTCGCCTCCTCTTCAATATCTATATCGACCCTCAAGTCCTGCATGAGAGCCAACTTTCTTCAGTTGAAAGTCAACAAGACAGAGGCTCTCCTGATTGGCTCTCCTCCTCACCTCAGGCGCTGACAGCATCACCATCCATGGTTGCACACTCCACCTTGATAAGCCGGTCTGGAACCTTGGGGTCTTGTTTAACACTCAACTATCCTTTCTATCCCACATCTGTGCTATGGCCCGCTCTGCCTTCCCCCACCTCACAACGTCGCCGGCTCCGCCACTGTCTCACACCGCAGGCCGCCAAAACTCTCATACACGCATTCAATATATTCAGGCTTGACAATGCAAACTCCTTGCTTGTCAACCTCCCCAACTCCTCCCTGCATAAGATATAGATCATCCAGAACTTGGGTCCGAAACAGTGACTGTCCAGCGGCTTGTGATGTAGTTTTGTTGTTGTTACACTGGGGAGGTGTCTCTGACACTGGTGCCTTTTTAAGTGTCTCACTTAAAGAGGCATTGAAATCCTTTCCCTTTTCTACTTTTGTCATGGGATCTTTAACATCCACCTGAACAGGCTGACAGGATCTCGGTTTAACATCTTATGTGAAGGACAGCGCCTTCAACAATGCAACACCCCCCAGCACTGTATTAGAGTGTCAGCTAAGACTATGTGATTCCAAGTGCCAACATGTGGCTTGAACCCACAACCTTCTGACTCAGTGCTACCACAGACCCAAGCTGACACACAAAAGTTACAAAGGGCAATTTTAGGCCAGATACCATGAAGGATTTCTTTACCCAGGGATAATTTAATACCTGGAACAGGTTGTGCAAAGAAGGGTGGTTAAGGTTAGGACATTTAAAAACACAGCTTGATACCATGATGGGAAGACAGTAGTGTGGATACTCTGAAAGCATGAGATCAAATGAGCCAAAGGGTCTTCTTCATCCAAACCCTTCTTGTGATCTTGTGAAATTACAATCTCTCTCCTTTCATTAAAGTCAGCCCCACTTTAGTTGTAAGGCAGCTCAGACATCAGAGAAAGGGTTTAGACAGTGCACGAGTTAGTTAACGAGTGGAAAATGCAATAACATCATTTGTACTGATGATGGTTTGGGTTATTTTAATCAATTTCTACAAGTTTCCCAGAGACATTGGGGACTTGTTACGGGAACGTCCGGCTGAAGTGTTCCCATGGAAACGCATACAGTTCAGTGGAGAGTCAGCGAGCGAGCCTGATTTAGAATCCGCATTTGCTTCAAATTTGCCAAAGGCTCCATATGCACTTTGAGGTTAACGTGGGATTCTGATGTGGGTTGAACTCTCCTGAATACTGAAGGCAGATTGTGAGATTGTGCTTCCCAATTTAGAAGCATTCTGGAGGTGGGAGGAATGATGTGCCTATGCATTCTTCACCAAAATACTTTCAACATTGCTTGTGAATCCCAAACGGATATTATGCATGTTAACATGGTGTTGAAAATGTAGGAATTGCTATTCACAAAGAGAAATTCATGGCAGTAACAGGAATATATGACGCTGTTAAAAAAAAGTGGAATTTCTCCAAGTGTCCTGGCCAACAATCCTTCAAGGTAAAATTGGTCATTCACTTCATGACTGTTTATGAGACTTTGATTGCTATGTGCAAATTGCCCAATGCATTCATCTGAAAGTCAATATGACAGACTTCCAGTTACTGGCAAGAGTTTGCATTAGTAAAGCAGTCATTATCAGTGACACATAGTCACAATTAATGACACTGTGGCACTGTTAGTGATACAGTTACTATTGTTGATAGTGATTATTAGTGAATTCAGACAGCTGAATACTGCATTTTCAACTCCAATTTAGACGTATTGATTCAGAAGATGGTTCTCAAACCTCCTCCCCGTAGATCATTGGAGTTGTATTCGTCAGTTTGTTAATTTATTACACCAGCACAAAAAAGTTGGAAATTCATCTTTAAATAATGTGAGCTTTTTTGTTTTGGGGGGGCAGATATTTGGTAGAGAAGGGTCAGTGGACATTGAAACTGTGATGTGAAAAGCCTCTTCAATTGCTCTGAATGAGAATTAGAGCTTGTAGTTTCACCCAGTGTCCTGACCAGCAATCCTCCACATAAAATTGATCATCTTCCACTGTTTCACAGCTGTTTGTGGTATTGATGGAGACTGAACATTTGCCTCTCATTAGAACAGAGCAGTACAACTTAATGGTAAGCATAACAGTGGGAAAGATCTTTGCATCAAGTGTGTTCTGTAAGTTTGAACATTTTGGGTAAAAATGGGGAAATCAGGAACCAAAACAACATAGAGCACAGTTAAGGATGACCTGAAGATTGGAGAGGGCACCCTCATTATTGACATTCTGTCTCGTCCCAGTGAACTGTCAAACCAAACTACTGTTTACTTGATGTCAGAGATTCTGTGTGCCCACCTTACAATTCCTGTATGGTATAGAGCTGAGCATTCCTAGTTAGCAACGAAAGTTTTGATTGACACCAAGAAAATTCTAAACATATAAAATAAACATATAAAATAAAGCAAATGTGCCGAGCGGTACATTTGAGCTGATCATTCCATCTAAAAGGTTACAATAATAATCCTTGCATTTGATATAGCGCCTTATCACACCTTCAAAGCGCTTCACAGAATATACAGTAAAATGAATTGACTGTATATTTTGTGGGAGAAATGGGGCAGCCAATTGTGCACAGCAGTGTCCCACAAACAGTTGTAGATTGAAGTGACTAATTTATTATTATTATCTTTTTTAAGGAATTACTACCCCCGGAAAAGTGATCCGCTAATCGACTAACAACCAGGTTCCTACTTCCTGCTGGGTAAACAGAAATGTGTGGAGTAAGGAAACTTGCCCAACATTTCGCCCTGCTGAGAATTGAACCCAGATCACTCGCTTATGATGTGAGAGCTCTCACCACTGAGCTACAACGGCCTTCAACATTTGTGCAACTAGTAGCTTTCCAGGACCAGTGGAGACCTATCCCAGTGAGACGAGTATCAGGTTCAAAAGGCAAAACCAGCGCTCTTCCACCTTGCACCTCATTACATAAATTTTGATAAAGCAGCAACAGCTGAATTGCCTGAAGCAGCAGCAGTTCTGTCTGTGGATTCCTGAAGGTGTAAGGTATCCTTAGATTGCACACACAACGCCAATGCTGTGCCAGTGCAAATATGTTTGCACTCATTTAAGAGTGAGTCCTGGCCAACGATCCCTAAACAAAACCAATTATTCATTTAATGGCTGTTTGTGGAACATTGCTGTGTACAAAATTAGCTGCCCTGCTTCGTCTACAAAATAAATTAAAACAGTTTGTATATCGTGGGAAGTACTTTGAAACTTCCTGGTATGAAGGGCACTATACAAGGATTAATTATTATTAATAACAAATCCATTCCATAAATGTGAGGCTTGTAATTACTCAGCTGGTGGGAGAAACATGTGATTCCCACATATTGAGAGCATAAAGAGCTATACAGATGTTCCAAATGTAATTACATTGCACAGAGTCTGCGAATTCAAGTCATTTGTACTGTATTAACCAGGAACAGAAAAATTCCCTGGAGGCCCCTGAGGCACACCACTAAACACCTTCCCTCATTTCAATCTAGCTTCAAATAACTATTCAAATAACCTCCTTGCCTTTAACCACAAGTTACATTAGTACCAACACAGTGTTGTTTTTAAATTACTAATGACTAAAATTACTTTTTAGCAAATACCTTTGGATGAGAGCCTGTTTAGCTGGACTTTAAAGATGCCATGACACTTTTCAAACAAGAGAAAGGAGTTTCTCCCAGAGTCCACATAAAATTGATCATCCTCCACGGTTTCATAGCTGTTTGTGGTACACAAATTGGCTGCTGCTTTCATCTACCAAAACAGTCACTGTAGCTTACACTAAATCTTATGAAGTGCTTTGAGACATTTCAAAGATTATTATTTAGTAAAAGGAGAGTGTATTCCACTTTGCATTATCAAGTATTTGTTTCAAGAACAAATTAAATAAATTTCTGCTGAAAAATATCTTGGGATACAGTCTATACTTTGGGACATGACATGTCAAGCGACTGCCAGGATGGTGGAAAGCGAACTAGATGGACCTTGGTCTTCTTTCACCTAGCAAATCATTTTATGCTTATGTGTCTTGAGCATCATAAACCTCAACATTTTAATGCCTTTCACTCAGTTTTCATTCAGAACTCTGCTGCCTGCGCACTTACCTGGCCAAAATCCGTACCTTCACCTCAGCAGTTCTGGCCCAGGCTCCATTGGCTCCTCATCACCGAATGGATGGACTTCATGATCCTCACACTCGTGTTCAAATCCCTTCACTCCCTGGCATCTCCCTACCTCTCCGACTACCCAATCCACCACTCAGCGCCTCTGCTCGACTGGCACCGGCCTCCTGCTTGTCCCTCACAGCCTCCGCTCCGCCATTGGAGGTCGCGCATTCAGCCAATACACTCAAAAACTTTGAAACACTCTCCCTCAATCCCTCCATCTGCCCCCTCTCTCCTCTTTTTCAAGTCAATCCTGAAGACCTTCCTCTTCGACATTGCTTACAGTCATCTCCCCCACTCCACCCCCCACCACCTTCCCCGGCTCGGAGTCAAGCTCATGGAGGATGCTATATAAGTGCTGTTGTTACCTTGAATGCCAACCCCAATCCCCGATATTGTATCTAATATCCTACAGCTCTACCCACTCATTCTTATGCAACATTTTTCGCTCAGGTTTGTATTTCTATAGAAAACAAATTTGAAACCGAGACTCTTATGTTGGTATTACTGTGATGTTTTTAATACCTTACGATAAGATTTACTTCCAAATCCATGCGATCCTTAGTTCCAAACGTTCACAAACTCGGCAAAAGACATTTTAATGAATTAACTGATAAACTTTTATTCTGAATATATTTGCACAAGAATAAAGTAACACAACATATCTAAGATTATAAACTTTTTTTGAACAGTATTGTACAAATTTATACAAAATTTCTTTCAGGCTTTTCAAGTTCCACAAAACGTTCAGAAAGCACAAGTAAAAGGGAGAGACCCTCTTGCTGCGTAGTGCAGGGAGGATCTGCTGCAAGAGTACACACTGAACCATCTGCGACCATAAATAAAACAATCCATTAAAGCAGGATCCAGACACTCTGTACTATGGTCAATGACAGCAAGATTGCCTTCATTCACACTGTAAATCAGCTTTGCAACTTGCAACCCAGTAAGGCTACAGGGCTAGACAATTCTGAAAAAAAAAGCTTTAGAAACTTCATATAAATACACACAAGTGGCAGCATTGCTTTTCACCAATTCATCTACCAGCTTAAGCTTTTTTTAAAAAAAAATCGACACTAAAGTGTACAAGCAATAGAGATCTCTGAGCTCAATAACTAAAGCCGCTTTTGCCAAAAATGTGTTAAAAACACCAACAGCCCATTTACATTTGGCAGCAACAGCAATGGTGCAATGACTGACATTTTCAATTCATCATACGTGTTGCTTTTTGAGCAAGTATTCAAATGAACATTGTCCATGTATTTTTTTTCCCGACTCATGTTGTCCTGCCTTCTTAATACTGTTTACTATAAATCCTGTGGCTGATCTTTTGATAGTTATATCCAAGGAGTACATTGTTCTGCATATCGCTTGAGGACAAAACAAAAAACAATTTTTAAGGATAAATTGTCAGCTTTCCACCTTGGAGATCCGAGTTTGAATCTATCAACCTGTCAGTGTTATTGTCTAAAAGATGGAGAGAAGAGTTAAGGTTGTTTCAGTTTCAATTTCATTTAAAGGTTGGGGTTCAACTGAGGATTAATATTAATGGTCTCCAAAGACCTCTTTGCATGAGTGAAATGTGTGTATGTGTGTAGATGGAGATAAAAAGGAAGTACTTCCTGATTTAATTATTCATTGTCAGGAACATGAAAAATGAATCAAAACTCCATATGCCTGACATCAATGCACTGTAGGATTAGTCTCTCCTTTGCATCACTAATCTCATGTTTCCTTGTCATCTGTCTTCACTGTTAATTAAATAACTGCATTAGGTATTGCTTTAAGTGTGGAAAAGGCAGATTACCTGACTATCTGTCTACTACAGGTATTGCGGGGTGGGGGAGGTGTTGGGGTGGAAGGGGCCCTGGGATCAAACTGATCCATAATCTGCTTTATACAAATGTCCACTGACCTGTCTAGAGGATACAGCAGGATATTGAATCATGAGCAAGCTATTAATCATGTTGATTGGTTGACTGTGTTCCAAGAAACATGGCTTAAAAGTGTCCACTATACCATAAACAGATTGATGAGGCTAACTCATTCAGGATTCAACCAATTATAAAAATGACACCTTCTGTGGACGGGAAGATTCTTTCATTCTTGTTCCTACAACTTAAAAGCAGCCACCGAGGAATCGCTGCACCCAAAACATATCAATTCCATCTGACATTTGAACTAAGTGACCAGTTTGTCTCCAAAGACTGATGACACAATGTCTGGAGCAACTCACACAATCTTCAAATTGGACCAGTGAGCACAGAGGTGTCCAGGAATCCCCTATATTCGTTCTGAGACAGGCATATTGATTCAGACTCGATTGAACTTTGCAGAACCACAGCTACAAGAAGCAAAATGTTTCTCAATCCTTCTTCAAACTAATTTCCAGTCAGCAATAAGATAAAACGAAAATCGAAACTCTCTTGGAATCTCTTCTTAAACCTGTTCACAATCTAATATTTTATCCTATGGTCCATCATTAATAGTCTTAGACAACAAGTGGAAGAACTCTTCCCAATTGACATGGATGGAGGTGAATTGAAGGTTGAATTCTGTATTGTTTTTAGCAAATCTGGGTTCTTTTTTGAAGGGAAATAAACAATATATATATATATAAATAAACAAACTACTTCCTGTGAAAGATGAATGAGACCTTAACCTAAGGTGCATCACTCCCTTTGAAAATCACTCAGGACCATATTTTGCTTCTTCTACACGGATGCAATTTTCGTTCCCATTTTAATTTGGCAAAGAACAGACCCAAAAAATTACGGGAAGTGAAATGCTTAGAACAAGGCGACATCAAAATGCTTTGATTAAAAAAAAGTAACCAGTTTGCTTCTTGAAGTTTTGAAAATAATTTTGGTTTAATTCTTTGTTTAGGGTACCTTCAAACTGCTTGTGTTCAGGGTGACATCATTGAGGGAACACACTGCAAGCTGCTGAAAATGGGTAGGAATCCAATTTTGTATGAAGTTTCTGCATGGTTTTAAAGCAGAAAATACAAGACCACGGACCTAAAATGATACGGTGGCGTGAACGATATTCGTGCCAAACAACAGAAAAATATTTTGGGTGTGTTTTCAGGAATTTAAGCAAACAAAATGCCACAGTGACATAAAGTTTAATCGACAGGGCACAATGTCATTATTCCACTGCATTTCGCCATTGATAAAAATGTTGACTTTAGCCTTAAAAAATGTTACAGAAGCTTACAGCTGTAGGCTGCGTGGTTTGCATAACAATTTGTATCACGAGCCATAGTGTAGATTTTCACACAGGCACTTTCACCTATTTGCAGATCCTGCCTGCAACCACCTCTCCAAAATATAAGAGCCAACCATGCTTTGACAACATATAAACAGGCGTGCACAGTTTGTGAGGTGACATTAGTATTAACCCTTTCATAAGGAGGAGGAAAGGGTCGGGTACCAAGTGGAAGCAAGACGCTTCTCCACTGGGGTCACAGAGAGAATCAGTGTTTGAGTGAAGCAAAGCACGTGAGGATTGCCAGCTTGAGTGACTTGCCGACTAATCCTTTCTGCAGTATGGTGGTGAGAGGCCATTTGAAGTTATTAAAAACTGGGGGAGATTTCATTTTTATTTTAACACATTTGGGCTATACTGGTACTGTGCCTGGAAACTGATATCCTACAATGTCACACTCTAACTAAAGGCTCCAGCTAACGAGAAGTAATACTGCCTGGACATTCAAGATTCAAGAGCTGCTGTTCCACAAGGTTTCTCTCAGTGGGGTGCATAGTTGAGGCCACAATTAAAGGAATATTATGTGCAGTCCCATGGAGATTCATGTTATTACACGTATTGGGCTGGATTGCTGTTTGTCACTGGCATGTATATTGGTATCTGAATGGTTCTTAAACGGCTACACGACCACTCGTTCCACCGAAGCAGAATGGAACAACGCCAAGATGGAGTTGCTGTTGGATTACAAGTAGAACTGAGTGTTGCACATGTTCGCTGAACATTATTCAACAGTGCACAGTGTAGTTATCAAAACCTTTCTTTTTGACTGGGACTCGGACACACTGCCAATGACATATGACAATTGAAATGTTGCGCTACTGGAACTGAGTTGGGCAGGTCAAAGGAGACCACATTGTGGAACGTGTTGAGCTCGTAACTATGGCTGATATATCTACTGAAAATCCAACGCAAGGAAAAGTTTCAGCCACACGACTGTCACCTCACCCTAAACATTTTGAATACTGTTTCCACACACATTCACCTCTGGTCACTTGAAAATATTTGCTTTTTAAAATACTGAAGTGTTTTTGCAAACTCATCATAGTGCAGTTCAGTCTTTAAATGAAAATAGTTGAGCACAACAGCCAGAAAGTTGCTGTTATCTTTGTTTATTTTTTCACTGTTGCAGTTTAAATTTGTTAAACAAGTTATTTTAATTTTTTCAAGGCAAGATTTTTTTTCTCTTCTCTCTCTCCCTCTCCTGAAATATGTTAAGAGAAATTGTTTCTTTTTCTCCCCAAATACTTTTGATTTACATCCATTTACCATCAAGATCACAGACTAATTTTCACAGCAAAACTGAAATGAAAGACTGTGCACTATTGATGAATGTCACAAACAAGATACTCAAGGCTTGACCAGACATTTACGCATTCCCAAAATACATTATTCAACAATAGTGCACATCACTTTGCAGTTTGTTACATAATGCCTTGGATTTACAATGTCACTTCACAATTTATTCGTAAACAAAATTGCAGCTTAACTGTGACGTAAAATCCCAAATTGCACACGTTGAACTTAATTGAATGCCCAGCCTCATGTTAAATAATGTCCTTTCGAACCCATTAAAAATGGATTCAACTTTGACTATCACTCTTATTCCAGATGTTCCTCCTTTTTGTATATAAAAAAACACCTTTCATTATATTCCTTATCATCAACCACTCGCCAAACATCCAATATGCGATATTGCACTTAAAAGTATTTTGCGAATTTCCCTTTACCTTCATTTTTTTTCACATATTACAGACATTGCGCTGAATCGCACTGTGCTACCCTGCTAGTATTGGAGCTCTGCTTCCCCATTCCATCCATTCGAAAATGTAATCCTGTAATACACAGAGGACATGTGTGTCCGATAGCTGTTCTTTCAGTCTGTTTTTACTGTGTTTTGTTTTCAAAGAGATGTGTCTGACAATATTTAGATTCGATAGTGAAACAGTTATTTTACATCGTATTATCTAGGTTCCGCACAAACAACATTTGGTTCACTCGGTCGCCCTGCACATTTACTATACTCCTACATTAAAACAGAAAATTAGTAGCGTCATCGTCATGCAAAATAGCCTCAGAAAACCAAAATCGCCACAGTGACAGCTTTTTTTTCATTCACAAGCTTTAGCATTTGTTTTGTTTTTTGTCTGTGTGGGAGCAGAACAATCGCGGTGTACTCGCCTCTTAAAACATGAAGGACATCAAGTGCAGAGCTATGGCTTGATGGGGATGAAGAGGGGAACAGGCATCCTTTGGTAACAGAATAACTAATGGCATAGCCTAGGCCTCAAAATAATAGACTACTTGATGAAAATAAGGAGGGTTTCGAACCCCCCCCCAAAATGCGTTATTTCCTGTTGGAATCCAATAGAATACAGCTCGAACCTCGATGTCTTACACCAGTGAGATCGTCGGAAGTGCCTGCATACTGCCCGCTCGGCATAACTAAATGTTCAAATTAATGCCAGTCAATGTAAATCGTGAACAAAGACAGCCCTTCTTCATCTTAACTCGCTAAATAAGTAAAAGGTTTGAAACCTGATAATATTCAACAAATCTAGGCTTTTTTTCCCCCCACTTTTTTAAAAAAAACATTTGATTTTGCTTAATGCATTAGCATTCCCATAGGTTGCCTGGCAGCTTTCAGCACAACAATCCAATTTGCTACCAATGTGTACGAAATTTTTTCCTTCAAAAAAAATTGTTTTTTTACTCTTCAATGGAGCACCTTATCCGTTCTTCATGTGGAGAGTCAAAGATGAATCGTTCACACAGTGATGCCGTAGAATATGGTCATGGCCAGTCTTCTACTGCCTGGGAAAGAAAAATGTTACCCCTGGTTTAATTCAGGAGTGTAGTGTGGTGGGTCCAGAAGGCGGAGTTGGATGTCAGTTCTCAGTGGTCATGATGGATAAGATCTGGTACTACTGAACAGCCAGAGCAGCACAAGCTGGATGCCTATCATTGACCATAAGGAGGAGCTCAGCCCAGAACTACCGCCACATTCAGAATCATCCTCCTGCCGTCAAAGGGAAGAAAAGGACAAAGTTAGTCACTGCACCGTGTCCCGCGGATGCCATCGACTCCTAAAGATCAGGCAACATTCAGCCACATTCAGGCTTTCTCTTCCATTAACCTACACAGTATATCTGCGTTTACTTGTATGTGTTTTTGAGAAACTGGGTAAGATTACCTCGATTTAAATGGGCCCCAGTACAATTGAAAGCCAGCACTTTCAGCAAGGTTTTGCACAGACTGCAACCTCCACTGCATCAAAAAGAAATGTCTTCATTGACTCTACCTTGCAATACAATTTACATTTATATAACGCCTTTCATGTTGGAGGATGTCTCAATGCCCTGGGCAGCCAAGGTGTGTGGGGGTGGGTGGGGAGGGATGAAAGCCGAAGGGAATGGGATTCCCCCAGAAAAAACAAGTTCTTCCTGTACACACAACAACAACAAGATTACATTTGTATAGCGCCTTTCACGTCGGGAGGCACACAAGTATTAAACAGAAGAAACCATGGGATGAAAAAAGGCTGTTCAGCCCATTAAACCTGCTCCTTCCACAAGACATGAAAACTTACCCTATCGTGGTCTCCATCTCATTCATTCCAACTCCTGGGTACAAAATCTACTCACTGATGCCCAAAGATAATTGAACAAAACCTCCAGAACATTAATAGATTCCCACATCTCTATTATTCAAACTTTGGTCCTTCCCTCCATAGACAGCATATTTCTCCTGCTCTACCCCTAAATAACCTCAGTGCAGTTCCTAGGCAGGTTCCTGCTGCATTAGTTTATAAAAAGCTTGAATTGATTTAGATTCCAATCCTCAGTCTCACAATAACAACAACAATGAATTGCATTTATATAGTGCCTTTCATGTCGGGAGGATGTTCCAAGGTGAGGGTCAGTCGAGGGTTTGCACCTGAGCTGGGGATTGGATCCAAGAGGGATGAGGGTGGGAAGTTGACCGAAGGCATTGTCAAAGAGGAAGGTCTTGCCACAGACCTTGAAAGGGGCATGGGAAGGGCTGAGGTGAAGGGTCTCTGAGATGGAGCTCCAGAGGTTGGGGGTGAAGGTCTTACCGCTCGCTAATGGTGGGGTGGGCAGGATGGTGATATAAAGCAGGACTGTACCTGCAGAGCGTAGGGACAGGGCAGGTTGGTAAGATTTTGGAAGGTCACAGAGGTAGGGTGGGGGCAAGACTTTGGAGGGCTTTAAAAGTGAGGACAAGAATCTTGAACTTGATCCTCTGGGGATGGGAAGCCAGTGGAGCTGGGCGAGAATGAGGTGATAGGCTCGCAGAAACTGGAGCAGGAGAGGACACAAGCTGCAGAGTTCTGAATAATCTGCAGCTTGTGGAGAGAAGAGTTGGGAAGTCTGCCGAGCAGAGAGTTAGCATGTGATAAAAGCATGGATGAGGCCTGAGGGGAGAGGTAGTGGCAGAAATGGGCAATGTTGCGGAGATATGGAAAGGCTGAATCAGTCAAGGCATGGATGTGGGGTTTAAAGGACAGTTGAGAGTTGTACAAGACACTGAGGTTCTGTACTGACTCGGTCAGGTGTAGAGTGCATCCATGAATAGTGAGACAAGGAGGCGCTGACAGGAGCTAAGCAGGAGAGCTTCTGTCTTGTTGAATTTCAACTGGAGAAAATTAGCTCTCATCCAGGAAGACAGTGAGTCAGGACAGCAGTTGTCCTGGAATCGAGGGTGGAGGCAGAGAGATAAAGTTAGGTATCATCCGAATACATGTGGAAGTTAAATATTATTATTATTGTTGTTATTAAATAACATTGTTAATCTCTCCCAGTTTTGTGATGGTCTGCATCATCGATGCCTCCTATAATTTTAAAGACCTGGTTCACTTCTTCGCTCAATAAATTCTGCTCTGTTAGTCTCCTCATGTTACATCATAAGTTAGTGTACCTGGTCCAGGATTCATCCCTGTCACTCTTTGAGTTCTCTTCAATACATCAACAAATGTTTGAAGTTAAGACTTCCCAAAGTGAATAAACAATTCCAAATGTGCCTTCTTCAATGATCTAGACTGGATTAGATTAACATCACCAATTTATAGTTAAACGCTTTTGAGATATAACCTTGTATATGATTAGTCAATTTGAGCTACAGTTTGTATAAAAGCCTTTAGGCTATTAATAATAATAATATTATTAGTATAATAATATTATTAGTCAAGTTTCAAAAATCAATTCAAATCATTTTCCTTCTCTATCACTGCTAAAAGGCACCTGTTCATTTTGCATGTTTGATATTATTTAAATATGTATTACCTTACATCTACCCATATTAATGTCCATTTGCCACTCCTAAGAAAGCTCTTTACATTACTCGCCTGCCCAATCAATACCTTGCAATCATCAATAAATGTCACATGCTGTATTTGCTCTCCTTCAAGTTATTTATAAATTGTATGAGTAGTAATTAACTCAGAACCCTGTAAAAGTGTGTTGGCTTTGCTCCCTCTCCCTCCTCCCCCACAGACAGAGCTTCTTCCATTAATGATTACCTTCTGCTTTCTAATGTTTTAAGCACGTTATCAATGCATTAAATTCCTGGGCATTACCCATCTTTAAAGTCTCAACTGGGAAACTTTATCAAATACCTTCTAAAAATCCAAGTAAATTATATCCTTCTCTGAGTAAAAGTTTGTCCCTTTAAAATTCCATAGGAATTCAGTGTGATAACTAGGAGTAACATTCCTCTTGCCACTGAGTGTATACGTGAATTTCCCATGACAAAGTCACTAAATTTAGCAGGAGGAGGAAGTTCCCACCCTTGAACCCTGCAGATTATGACTCAAACATTGGGGTAAAAATGTTGATGTTTCAGTAAGAAACAGAGGCATCATTTGCTACTGTCAACTGCAATGTGGTATTTTGCTACACATGATACAATGAGCAGGAGGAAGCATGAATCAAGCTCAACCTTTTCCAATTTGGATGTACATGGAGTTTGCTGTTCTGGTAATCTTTTGACAAATTTCACTGGACATCACCAAACAGGTCCAGGGAGAAAGATATAGCAATGCCAAGAGATGGCATCACTATATGAAAAAAGTACAGAGCCTGTACGCTATCTATCTCACAACAGGCTTATAGCGAGAGAAGTCCACATTTTTATTTTCCCATCACACTGAAACAAATTCAAGGAGGTTTAGAACAGAAGGGAAGCATTTGGCAAGAGTTTTATGAAAATGAGCATCTATTTCCTTCATAAGAGATTCAATTCCATCCGTCCAAACACCTACCCTACCATCCTCCTATTGCAACAACAACCTGTTTTCTAAATAAGGCCATGATCGTAGAATGACAGAATGATACAGCACGGAAACAGGCCAATCAGCCCAACTAGTCCACACTGGTGTTTATATTCCACGTCCACCCCTACTAATCCTCTAACCTCTACTCATTTATTTCCTACTCTCCCATGTATGGATCAAGTTTCCTCTTAAATACGTTGATGGTCCTGGCCTTAATTTCCAGCTGGAACTTCCAAAACCACTCAGTCCAGCCCAGATGACTCATCTGAGCAACTTCCAACAGTTAATAAGTTCTTTCCAAAACAAATGAGAACACATTTAGCCAAATGTACTATATGCTATCTCAGAAAACTAAAATGATTAGTGTTTGCAAAGTCATTTTTTGAGAAAAAAAAGTGAAATTATTTTCCAGTAATTTTACTAGAACCATCTAAACTTGTAGGACTGTAATAGGCGATTGCAGTCCATCTGTCTGAGCCCAAAGTAAAAAGCAAATCTTGGACCACTCTACCACTTACCCCTCAGGGAATTTCTTCACTGATATGTAAACTGAAAACAATATAATTCAAGTTATATTGATAAATTTACAGTATACCATGTTTAACTATTGAACACCTTCTGTAAACCATTAAGAAAAGGGCATTGGATGGAGGAATTAAATAATTCAGCAACATTATGCAAACACTAGTCATTGGATCAAAATCAAACAGTTCTAAGGGAACTATAACAAACTGCTAAATATAACTTAAAAAGTGAAACTCAAATACAGGGTGACCAAAAAGTCATGATACCTACCCTATTATCTAAAAAAAATCATAATTTATTTAAGACTTATTGGACATTGTAATGGTTTCACGGCTTTTTTGTCACCTTGTATAAATTCAGCTTTAAAACAATGTTTTCAGACAGAACTGAACCCATAGGTGTTGGTCTGGACCACAAGCACTGCGCAGAGGGATGTTACGAGGAATGTTATGTCTGTGTTAATATCACACCTACGTGTTAAGGAGATTAAAGCACAAAAACCAGTGAAAGGAACTGACCCTCCGCACCACATCAAAACTTGCAGTAAAATGAAGAGAGGAGCTGACACCACGGCAGAGGCAGGACTTGCTGTGCATATAGGCTCGTCCTATTAACAACGGGCAAAGTAGTGAGAAGAGAAAAGAAAGGAAACACAAAAAAAAGACAAACAAGATGAGTTCATGCATTTTGTTGGCTGTTAGCAGAGTTGATGTGAGTGCCTCCACCTAGAGCAGAAAGTCACAGTTGTCAATCACAAAAAACAACAAAAACCCACTGTTACAAATAAAAAACACAACACTGACACACCGATCAGCAAAGACAACAAAGCTTGTGAGCAAGAGTGCTACTGTACTTTCACGCAAAGGACTTGTGGCAGCCCACATGACGCTTGTGTCAAGGTTAAGAACACACCCACTCTCCTTTACTTATAGTGGATATTGGTGTTGGTATCTTGAATACAGGATAAATCAAAATTTGTATGTGACTGGATCCCAAAATATTTATTAATTCGGTAAATAATGCGTGGTTAATTTGGATGCACAGAATATTTGAACTATTAAATGTACCTATGTGTTTATCGGGAGCAATACATACATATCTATATGGGGAAAGAGTAGTGGGACTTATTGAGTAGCTCTTCCAAATTGCTGGCACAGACATGATTGGCCGAATGGCCTCCTTTTGTGGTGTTATATTCTACGATATAAAGGATAAACCATTGCTGGCATTGATGTACAAGACAGCATTTCATCTTGCAGTTCTACAGAATTCATATCCTGAAACCTTGACACGCATTTGTATGACAGCCCCATGACGTATTAAGTGAGTTCAAGACATTTCTGAAAAATACCAGAAATGTAGAACTAAATTATTGCCTTGAACTCCTTGTATTTGCTGTCTGTTACAGTCTATAATCAATACTTCCTTTGTTAAAAAAGAGTTCCTTATAGCGGAGAAATAAAATAAAAAAATGCAGATCAGCAAAGTCGCTACACTTAGCAATAGACAGAATATCTCGCCCTAGAGTTTCAACAGTTATTGTAAGCCAGTAGTGATTTTACATTATTTACTTACACAAACATCTGACAGTGAACTTCTGAATAAACTTTGCTTCCCAAACTAATTGGAAGCCAAAGTCCTATGACTATTGAAAAAGTCTCTAGTGCGTTTCAGGCTGCATAGTTGCTTGTATTTTGTAACACAAATATCTTGTCATTGACTTTGAGATAGAAATTAACCTTCATGTATATAGCCATCCCATATTTAATATTCACATAGCTTGACTGAAAGATGAGAATGGGAGAAACTAGGTTAGAGAACGGGGGGAATGGAGAAACTCCAGTCACAACGAACTAGACTTTATGCGTGAAAGTAAAGTATTCAGAAAAAGGCATACCAAAAGCTGCAATTAATTCTATGTTAATATTGCAAAAGAGTTATGATAATGTTATCAAAATAAAGAACCTAAGACACTACCACGTGTGTACAGCGCCATTATCTGGACACATCTGGGCTGTGACATATCGGTAATTGACATTGGAACTCTCCAAGAAATGTGTTTACCACTCATTATTATTCTTATGATTTGTCTTCTCCATCCCAAACCCTGCACACTTACGTTTTCGTCAGAATCAAAGCACACTTCAGGACCTTTCCTGTATCTAGGTTGCTGAGCTAAAATACAAGGATCAGGTCCATCAGCTGCAACAATGCGGTTAAGGAAACAAAAATAACAACAATGCAGGACAATGATAACGCCCTTTACAGGCATCAGCAGTCAATACCACACTGGTTTAGGTTCTCATTGCTCATTGACTGCAAATGAATTGAGTTGGTGTCTCTGCATTTTCTTTCACAATCACTTCCAATTACAGATTTATATAATCTGTGGTTAAAGGGAAATTGCTTGAGACAGCAGCGGGATTACACACATTTCCCACAGAGACATTTTCATCGGTCTTTTCCGAAATGAACCCATGCAGAAATGATTAGTTAGAAATGAGACGTGATTTTATTATATAGCTTGAAGGCTTTCTCGGTGTCCTGGCAGATCACCACTCATTAAGGTCTGCACCATTGCTGTAAGGTCCAGTGGAAGCAGCCTGATCCGTTCTTAGCTGCCATATGTCCATATGTTCCCTAGTCTTCTCAGCTCCTTTGGGTCACCTTTGACCTTCATCTCTTGCTTATTTAGCATCTGGAGTCCTGTAAGTTTGCGGTTAGAGCACTCGCCTCGCAAGCGAGAGGATATGGGTTCGATTCCCGGCAGGGCGAAATGTTGGGCAAGTTTCCTTACTCCACACGCCTCTGTTCACCTAGCAGTAAGTAGGAACCTGGTTGTTAGTTGATTGGTGGAACAATTTTCCTGGGGTAATAATCCCTTCCAAAAATATAAATAAATAATAATAATTTGGTCACTCAATCCACGACTGAGGGACACTACTGTGCACAATTGGCTGCCGTGTTTCGCCAACAAAATATACAATCAATTAACTTTACAGTATATCCTGTGAAGTGCTTTGATACGTCTCGAAGACGTGATAAGGTGCTATATCAAATGCAAGAAGGATTATTATTATCTGGGCCTAAAGACTGCCATTTTTCCCACTGTGACCGTATAGCACACTGCCACTAGTTTGCAGTCTCCCAAATAGGGTGGGAAATGCTCAGTTGAGACTTCTTGGTTGGCCGGGATGGTTGGATTGGGCTCAACATTTTGTGAATGCCGTGACAAAAAGATAATGAAGGAAGATCGTGGGGAGGTGGCGCCATTGCATCTGTATTTTTTTTTCCTGATCAACAAAACCCATTGGCCTATGGAAAACCATACATGCACACACAATATTTTCCAATGCCGAGCCTAGGCAACAATTTCAGATGTTGATTGTTACCATTTCAATCATTTAAAGGCACTTTTCACAATGCCATATTAAACTACTGTGTTCAATAGTTAACTGCATTAAAGTACTGCATTAACCCAGAAGAGGATACATTTCTGTTCTGCTTGCAGAAGAGACTTTGAGTCACAGGACTGACAAGTGGGCTTGCTCTCCACTAATATGAACACCAAGTTAGTGTCGGAGAGCTTTTGCGCGTGGAAAAGCCTGAAAAAACAAACACACCATTAATCAAAGTTACTGTAGCCAGGCCACACAAAGAAAATCAATTAATGTACAACATATAAAGTCATCAAACCAGCAGTGGCCAGGGATGGTTATTGACTCTGCCTCCTGAGAGAGTAGTTTGAATAATCAAAGATAAAGACTAAAGATTAAACTTAAAACACATAATCTGGGGATCATTTTGTAAAGACAGTGCATGTATCCATGTGCTACATGCTACTCTTCATTTGAAACCAAAATGCTTTGGATTAAGTATTTATTTTGCTTTTAACATTTCAAAATAAAATGCATGAAACATTTTAACCACACTTATTCCTCTCATAACAATTGTTGTGGTTACAATAACCTGTTGTTCTAACACAAGCATTTTATGTTTTCTACTTGTCTGCCAAATTGGACAACTTCCTGGTTATACAATTAGAATAATAAATAAATTGGGTGCGTCGACTGTTTTTATTTGTTGGCAGTAAAACTATGCCTTCCTCAATTAAACTCAACTCAAAATGGCATCTTTCAAGTTGCAAGTAGCTGTGGCTGAGTATCAAACAGATCTAATTTTACAGGAAATGATGAGTTTCAGCAATTCCTTCACAAGCTTGGAAAACTCTCGTCCATTCATCATCATTAGTGAGAGGTCAGTGCAGAACATCAATCTCCAAAAGGATTTGTGAGCGTGCCAAACTGCCACTGCTGCTGTTTGAGTTGGTTTTACTGAACACGAGCATGCTGCGTAAAGCTCTTCTATCAAACTCACAAAACATGAAGCATTGCCCGAGGGATGGTTGATTCCCATTGTTCTGTAGAATCATTGGAACCTAACCCTATGGTATTTACTAGACTATCTCTTAATATGACACAATAATTGTCAATACTTGAAGCATTAAATGTACTGAATAGTTCATTCCATTTTAGAAATCCAATATTGACACATTACTTATTAAAACAAATTGCTTAAGAAATGGCGCAAATTAAACCCCAATGATTGCAGGGCAAATTAAAGGTGATTCTTTAGTGTTTTTCCCTACATCATTGCCACTGCATCACAGTCATGAGTACTTTACTGTATATATTTTTCCACTAATATTTGTGAACATTTTTCTCAGGCCAATATCCATCTATTTCCTTTCTTGAGGAGGGGAATATACTTTCATTCATTACTATCCTTTTTTTCCTCATGGTCTTCCAGCATGCTTCAATCACCACTAATAGGTACTATTTGCTTCTGTTGTCTGCAGTTTTCTCCGTCACTGAACGACATGCCCTCGCACAATCCATTGGCAAGACAAAGCATAGAGATAAGGAGTTAGGTTCTCCCATCCCAAAGATGGAACATTTGTTGCAAGCTAGCAGTGAATAGAAAAATAATCATACCAGAAATCTATGAATTTTGATTAATGGGCCACCCTAAGACTTGAACTCTGGACTACCGAGTTGGAAGTTGGCGTTTCAACCATTGAGAAACCAAGACACTGATATCTTAAGATATCTCGGCTGCCCTTTTCCGCTGTTGGTGTGATGTCATTTAGAAATTCTTGGTTCTTCTTTGATCTAAATGTCATTTGGTTTCCTAATGCCTGGTGCTCGCATTGTATCTCCATTCTAATTAGCAGATGGGTTTTTATTGATTTACTGATCAGAGGTTTCTGGTGCCTTAAACTGTTTGTGTAAAACTTGTAAAAGGACCTGAATTAGTTTCTGGCAAAGAGACTCTTTTTGTCCAAACTGACCGTGAGAATTCGTATGACGTAATGGACCCAGACTTCCAAAACGCCTTTGATAAAGCACAACATAAAAGACTCTTTTATAAACTAATGGCTGTGAACACCAAGTTTCACACAGTGTTATTTTTGGAAACAGGGTTAAACAGCAAGAACATCTTATAGAATCACTGAATCCTACAGCACAGAAGGAGGTCATTCAGCCCATCGTGCAGTGCCGGATCTTTGAAAAAGCTATCCAATTAGTCCCAATCCCCCACTCTTTCCCCGTAGCCTTGCAATTTTTTTTCTTTTAAAGTAAATATCCAATTCCCTTTGGAAAGTTATTAAATTTGCTTCCATCACCCTTTCAGGAAGTGCATTTCAGATCGTAACAACTTGATGCGCAAATACATTTCTCCTCAACTCCCTTATTTTCATTTTGCCAATTATCTTCTTCTGAAATTATTCTCTAAGGGAAGCTCGAATAGTTCAATGGGTAGCAGAAATTCCACGTTTAACCCAACATTTCAGAGTGTGCAGAATTTGGCAAATGTAGAATAAGACCCTATTTTCTGTAATTCTGAAAAGAAACTTGCAGAGAACCACCTTCAGAAATGTATTTAAGAATTTGACACATTCTGAATGCTCTGAAATGCAATGTTAGTAGAGTAAATCTGGACCCAAGCGGACGTTCTACCCATAAGAGTTCTTATGATCACGACCTTCATGAGGGAGAAAATTCAAAGCAAGTCAAGAAAGGTTAAATTTCAATAAATTTTCAATTTCAGTAAATAGAGCTGTGCTCAATGGCCTGAGATGCTTAAATTAAATCAAGATCAGGTCTTGTATTCAGTATAATAGTATACAGTATAATAGATCACAGAGGCCCACATACACAATCAGCTAGGAAACCCTTGAACCAGAAGACTAGAAGTCCCCAAAGTAACATTAACTTTCCAGACAACCTTCCTGCATACTCTATCCTACTTTTACTTTCTCAATAAAGCTGCTCAAATGCACCCAAGCCAGAGAGAGCATTGACCTGGCGCAAAAATGCAGGCTTTATATTACAGACCTACCTTGAACAGTTGCCACAGTCCACGAGCCCAGAGAAGGAGTCAGTATCATTATAAAAATAATACTGAGTCTGCTCCGTGATACAGCTGGACTTCGCAAAAGGTTCAGAGAAATCATCTGAGTCTGTATCGGCTGCAAAGTGAAAGTGGAAGGTTATTAAGTTTTACACAATTTGTTTCCGAACCCATCATGCTTTGAATCTACACAGTAACTGGAGTCTAATTTGTGGTCTTTCTTAAAGTGATTCCTTAATAAGGAATCCAGGTCACGCAAAAACAAGACTCCTTCTTGGAGCTGGAGATATGTCACACTAACCTATGAGAACTCTGCTGGGAACGTCAATGAAGAAACTCCATTTTTAAAATAAAATAAAAAAGGCCACAAAGTAGATCCAGCACGAAAAATGTTTTGTTCAATTCAAAGCATGTTGAAGTTGTGGGATGTATTATTTTAATAAATGAAAGACTGCTGACACTGTGAATGCAAAATATCAGAACTTGTTGAAAATCATCAGCAAGTCAACCAGCGTTGTCTCAGTGTGTGTCAGCCTGAGTCAGCTGGCAACACTCTGAACTTTGAATCAGAAGTTTGTGGGTTCAAGCTCCACAATAGGACTTTAAACTCAAACAGTTCAGGCTCACATTCCAATCCAGTGCTGGGATAGCACTGCATTATCAGATGGTGCAGTCCTTCCGATGAGTCATTAAACCAGGTAGACATTAAAGATTCCATGGTACTATTTGAAAAGAAAAGGGAGTTTTTCCTAGTGCTTCTAGCAAACAAATCCCCCAGATAAAATTAAGAATATAAGATCATAAAATCATCATTATTCGTTTTATGGTTGTGAGACATTGCTCTGCCCAAATTGGTTGCCATATTTGTCTACAGAATACACAGTCACTACACTTTACACTGCATTCTAGTAATATAATCTTTGTGTTTGATATTTCACATCACAAAGCACATCACAGTGCTTTGGGATGTGAAAAGAACTATGTCAAATGCAAGGATTATTATTATGATCAGCAATCTGAAAGAGAATGAAAGATTAATGGTGTGAAAAAATATGATACTTGAAGTGACAATTATTGCATCAAATGATGCATTCTGCCTCGCCCCACATTTAAGTGTGTGAAATATTCTAATAAAGGAGTCACGTCTGAAACTTTAAACTTTCTGTCAAATGTTGCTAGAGACCTGTTGGGTATTTCCAGCGTTTACTGTATTTTCTTTGTCCTTTAAACTATTTCACTGCTGATATTTCTCAGTTGCATCAGAATTCATTTAAAGCGGGGCTGGGAAATAAAACGTTGCTACCAAAGCACTGTCATCACTTACCTGCATCAAGAATTTGTGGGAGGGTAAGGCTGATAAATGCCTGCTGCACTAGAGCCCTGTAGGTCAACACAGAAATAAATCATTATCACAGAATCTTCCAAGATTAGCTGCAAAAAATTGTGCATTTAAGAGCTGAAGGCAAACGCATGCGAAATATAAATAACCTGCAGGCTTCATGTCTGAAAAAATCATTTCAAAACAAATATGTTAGAGATGTTACACTGAGGTCACATTTTTGTTTCCTTTATTTGATTCTTTTGAATGGATTCAAAGACTTGTTGTGAAGTCATCTATTCCTGTTACTTTATTCACTTTTAAACGTTAATTGTCTTTTTTTTTGTAATTCGATCACTTGCTTCATAAGGATGTTTATGGGACGTTTCCGTTAGCTCACAAGATACCCAGTCAGTTCACTTGACAGTATATCTTGCTTTGAGAATCGTGAATGGTCTTATATCAAATGCTGGGATTATTATTTCTATTATGGTTCTTCCATAATGTTTCAACTTCTCTGGAGTTTAGTTTCGATTTTTTTGTAAGAGGCTCGATAACCTCTGGCTCCAAAGAAGTCTGTTTCTCTAAATTATCAGAGCAATTGGGAATTTATTTTACTTGCTTAGGGAAGGTCATTTCTCCTGACCTAGTGAGTGAACTGGATGAGGAAGAAAGGTCTAATAGAAGAAGAAGTCTTGTGTGAGCTGTTGCCCGGAGGTCAGTCAAAGGGAAATGTCTCCTCATAACGAGTGATGCATAGCAAGAAAATGGTGAATATGTGGAAAGGATTACACAGGGAGGCAGTGGAATCAGAGATTGTGTCAGCAAATTCAAGAGGCAATTGGCAAAGGAATAGATGGAGAGTGTATAATTATTACACATGGGACTCTACATTCAGATGGCAATGGTCTTTTCCCATCTTGTATAATCCAACATTCTTCTACAAGACTTAGAGTTAGAATTCCTCAGCAATATTAACTGCTCTAGATTCAAGATTAAAATATAACTTATTATATATTTCATTTAATATTTCATTCCCCCCTCCATTATATTCTATGAATCTATGTGATAAGGTGCTGTATCAAATGCAAGGATTAATATCATTAATAAAATTGAGTAAAGTTATCCCTGTTTGTGTGGCTGATTTGCTTCTAATGTGAAACAGGGACCCCTGCAGTTGAAGGCTTTCTGCTTCAATTCATTCGAACGGTTACTCAATCTGATGTGGAGATGTGCTTTGATGAAGATATACAGTAGTGTCTAAACAGGTGTACTTAGGTCACTCAGTTAATAAAGAATGTCTTGTAACATGAGGACATTAAAATCATCCTTAATTGTCACTTACCATGCTGCAGTGGATGCCCACCAACCTATATTCAAAATATCGGCTATGCTGGGCTAAAAATAAATTAAAGACAAATATTATTAATTCAGAATTGTATAAGTAGCTACGTATCATGGCATTGCCCACACTACCCGTTAGGATTTGGGCTCGCAAGAATCAGGACATGTCTACACTTCTGAGTCTACCTTACATCATTGAAGACACCACTGGCGTTGCCAACCAGTTCTCTTCAGAGACAAGGAGACCCAGCCCAAGAGAGACCCTACACCCCATTTTAGTCCCGTGGCTTCTGCAAATAAGAAAACAAAATTGACACGGGACATTGGGTGAAGAGATTAGTGGACTCAATGAGATTCAGACCCAAAACCTTCCTATCCTAAAAATGGAGTCCAATTAACTGGGTGATATTGAGGCCAGTGCTGAATGCAGGAATTAGTGAATGGACTGTTATTTTAAAGATGTTACACTGACCCAGATCAGCAGCTACGGCCAGAATAAATAGAGGCATCCAGCATGTAAGCACATCATCACCATTCAATTGTCAAACCATTGACACAATTGCAGTTAGGTATGTGGCTTCTGTTTGTAGGTGGTGAAGGGTAGAAGTGTAAATTCTAACATAGGGGGTGAAGAATCTCTGTAAGAGACTCATAAAGAATTATGTTGTGATGTATTAATAGCTGGCATTGTGAATGTACTGCATGATGCTTGGCTGGTGTTCACTGCCCCAATCTGGGCTTTGCTCCAGTAGCATCACTTCTGTTTAGGACCAGTGTATAGTATCGAGACAGCAGCAATGTATTAATTATGAACAAACTGTGTTTTTGTTCCTTGGGGGGAAATCTCCCACTGTTTGCTTTCACAGAGCCTTCCTTTTGAGTGTGTGCCCTGTTTTGAAACAAAGAAAAGTTACGTTTCTTGAGGTTTGGCTGAACTCGGATCGAATCCCCAGTGTTCAGCTGAACTAAAACTCACACCAAAAAACAATCAGGAAAAAATAACTCAATAGTCTCCACAACGTGAACCTACTACACCAACTCAGAGTTCCACAAATTCTCAAACATGTTTTGTTTTGAGTTTGAAAAGATGTCCATCTCAAAAAGAGTTTGTATAAACGCATATGGAGATTGGTACATGTATCTCAGTTGTACTAGAGACACTTAACTTAGTTTAAGGTAGCAAAGATCACAGTTGTTTGTATAATAAGGTTCAGTATTCTGATACGAGAGGGAGCCAACTCCTAATTGAGTCAACAGTGAGGCAGTTCAGCTACAATAGTTCAAGTCTTACCTTCAATCGAGTTTTCTATTAATATCTGCACTTATCCATGACAGATGGTTGAAACAAAGTACAGAACAGTGGAAACACAATCTGGAAAATGTTACCTCTACAATTAAAGGACTCGCTGGAACAACTCAAAGAGCTTATGAGTGTTAGGCAACAAAGTATTTAACCATTCAGTTTTAAACAGTTACTGACTAGGCCAGAAAGTCTTTCCAAACCTCAACATATTTCGACAAACACTTGGCAAGTAATTTGAGTTCAGAAAAAAACATTACGCCCACATGCTGGTATTGAAATGAAAGGGAAATATGGAATTTTAACAAACTCTCCATTTTAAATAGAGTGTGTGTTTCATGAATACCATCAGCATTTAACCGGACTATACTACGTTATCGAAGGTGGACTAAATCACAAAAATCCCAATTGGGCAAATGTTCAATTCTGATAGCTAATGGCAGAAGGTGACAGTGAACTTCAGGGGCTTCAGAATGAGATTTGGATGAGGTAAATTCAAAAAATAAAAACTCTCAGACATTCCTCACTACAAAATGCTTGAAACAAATTGAATACCTTGGCTGCGTCGCTCTGCTTAGCAAGCGCCAGCTGGATTCCTGTCCCCCACCTGAACAGACCCCCCCCCCACCCCCACACCACCATTAGTGAATGAGCTTCTCGAACACCATCCCGGAGTCCCTCTGCCTTATCCTCCTTGCATTCAAAATTCACCTCAAGCTGCCCCCAAGCTAGTGCCTGCAGGCAGCTCTAGGAAGTATCTGAGGCATCCTTCTCATCCCCTGTATAAAATAAATTCTGATGCATCTTTGATGGCTGTGCCTTCAGTCACTATATCCATAACCTCTGGAACTCCTTAACTCAATCGCTCTGCCTCACCCCACTCTTTTTTTTAAAATCCAGCCTTAAGCCTTATCTTTCGATCTTCCATATGGTCAACTCCCCTTCCACTTTTCCTTCACTAGACATCTAACCTCATCATTGTGCAGTGCACTGAGAAGCTACCCTGTGTGAAGGACGCTATATAAATGTGTTGCTGTTCCTGCAAGCTAAACAGACATGCAAGCATATGGACCTCTAAAGGGGTGAAACTAAGTCTGTTAAAGATTTGTATTCATTTGACCCTGCATATATATGTCCCAAAACCATTTGCTACTCTCAGTCCCTCTATCTGTAACCCTCAGCAGCCCTGCTATCCAAGTACTGTCCAGCTATTGACAGATGTGAAACTCAATGCCATTTCCTTTCATTTTCTGGTCTTCTAACAAAAGGAAGGGAATGCTGTAAGAAGGTATTCCTCATTATATGTAGCAAGTGAAAGGACTTCAACAAAGGAGAACTATTCAATTAGACGGTAGCAGTAGACCTTTGGTCATATATTATTTTTCTCTCATCCAAAAGGTAAGTACTTAGCTTCTACTTGGCAATGGGTCACCTTAGCGTGATTGAAAAAAAGCTTAATGGGTAGAAGGTCACATGTAGAGACTTGTGAGCTTCATTCCACAGTATAGTGGGTCACATTGTTCCTGAGAGGCATATTCTGCAAGATATTTTGTTAGGATTTTGGCCGACCACAAACAAGGTTAGCAAGCAACACAAGCGATTCCAAATGGCAGTAGTTTGTGTCAATCAGTTTCTACATTACAAATGACATGGATGACTTCAAGACACTTACAACATAGACAGAGCGAAGTCCAGCCCCCGCTTTGGTCTCAGACTCTGGATCACACACCGATTGGTAATCATAGGATTTACTGAAGGAGTATAAAGATGCATTCAGAAGGCGTCTCATCAGACTGGGGTCGATCTCGCCAAAGAACTTGCCAATCTGAAACAATAATGGGAAATAAATGAAAGTATTTCCCATTCCAGACCATGCATTGCACGATATTTTGGGGGGTAGTGGGGGTGTGGGAATCTCAACACTGATTTGATAACGTAGCCTGATATCCAGTTTGAGTCGTTCGCTGCTGCCTCACACAGTTTTGCTATGGTGGCCTTCAAGTCAACTATCACTAGATATCATAGAGTGACACAGCACATAATCAGGCCACTTGACCCAAATAGTCTATGCCAGTTGCTATGTATTATTTTATTATGTATGATCTGCAGTAATACGTTTCTATACCAATGCAAGAGTTATTATTATTAAAATTATTGTATAGCAGGAGGGCAGGACCTTGCGAAAACAATGGGCAATGTTTTAGCACATTTTAGGAGAAATGAGGATAGCCTTGGTTTTATCTCCTCCTTTACATACTGAACCCTAGCAAGGTGGCCCAATTGACAGCAGACCTTTCACTATTCAACAGGAGAATTTCATGATGGTCAATGCTAGGATTTAAACCCACAATGACCAGGAAACCAGTGCTTGGTGTCTAGAAACTTCAGGGTGGTTGTTAGTGTTTATATACACCTTTATTCTATCAGATAACAGAATTCCTGCGAACGACTGATAATAAAAATATATTTATCATCTTTAATGTACAGCAAAAAATCCAGCATTCAAAGGATTTAAAGCAAGTAAGGTTGAGCGGAAGGATAATGGTATTTACCTTTCCAATATATTCATCCTGATTTGATATCAACAGGAATCCTCCATCATCCAATATAACACAGTCCAAATGCTGCAGAGATTTTTAAAAAATGAACAATTTTGTTTAGTATAGCATGAGATTAATCCAGACTGGACTGATGCAACAGTTTTCAGTATTCAAGGCTTACATTTCTGTTTAAAAAAGCTTGTTACTTTACATGAGCTCATCCGTGTTATTCTAAACTGACGGCAAACTGCACCCAGTTTCCAACATGAAATTTAAGTAATGAACTCACAGCTCCTGGAGGAATGGTTGAAACTGCTTCTAGTTTGTTGCTAAGCAAACACTTTCAAGCGCTTTAAGAGATCCTCCCAGTGTGAAAGATGCTATATAAATATACATTGTGTGATGTCTAGGTCATATTTTAAGATTTCATGAAATCTACAATTAACACAACTAGTCAGTGCCAATGTTTATACTTCACACAAGCCTGCCCCACCCCATTCCCCTCTCCCTTCTCCCAAACTAATGCACACATTAGATATAGTGCAAGACAAGATCATATTAAAACCATCAAGAAAGTGTAAAACTCTAGGTGTTATGTTATAATCTAGGGCATTAAGTACGAGAGCAAGGAGGTAATGTTTAAATGGTTAAAGATAATAGTCAGGCTACAGTTAGCCTAATGCAAACAGAAGTCGCTTGGAACACTCAGCAGGTCAGGCAGCGTCTATGGAGAAAGGAAAGTGAGTCCACAACCATTCGTAGTGGACCCGAAAAGTTGACTCACTTCCCTTCCTCCAAAGATGCTGCCTGACCTGTTGAGTGTTCCCAGCGACTTCTGTTTTTGTTCCAGATTTCCAGCGTCAGCAGTATGTTGCGTGTTGTTAGACATCTCATTATGGAAAGAACATTGCAACTATGAAGAGGTTACAAGGGAGATTTACTACAGTGATACCAAGGAAGAGAGGATACACTTATGAGGAGAGATTTAAAAGTCGGGGCTGTTTTTCCTGGAGTAGATTAAGGAGGACAAATAACAGTTTACGAAATGATAAAGAACAAAAAATGTATGTAAGTTTAAAATCGAAATCATATTCTCAGTAAATTGTACATTTTGCCTCGTGTCAGAGCAATCCCGATGGGGAAAGTTCAGTTTAAGGGCAATTTTCCTCCAGATACTGAATGCCTCCCTTTCTCCTATTCACTTTGAAGCAAACAAGGTATTTGATTTTCTAGTGAATGGACCTGTGATGGCATGCACGTCTGGATTATTGGCATGAGTGCTAATAGGATTTAATGTTACTGGGTTTTGTTGGTTTCTCGAGTTAAAACAATTAAGCTTTGGTGCAATCGATCCCCACATATCTTCTGTGAGGACTCATTGAGGGAAATGCGCATTTCTGATAACAGCAATGCCTAACTCTCACTGTAATAGTGACAACCTCGATAAAGAAATAGGGCACTGCACTGCAATCTTCTCTTTCTAAATCAATGCCGGCTCTTTCTTAGGCTATTACTCATTTGACTGAGGTATTAGAAATAATGAAAGGAATTGGCAAGTTAGATAGTAGACAAATCTTCTGTCTGGGAGAGGGATCCATGGAAGACATTAATATCAGAACCAAGCCAGTCAAAACTAACATCAGGAAGCATTTCTTCAAGCAGAAAATATACCATGCTCTGCCCCAGAAAGCTAAAAAGTACAGGCAAAATCAATAGGGACGTTTAAAAGAGAGATAGACAGAAGATTGGGCCATAGAGGTTTTGAGGAATATGGCAAAAGGGCAGACGTTGGGTTTAAAAGACTTGACAAGATCTATTAAACTGGTGGTTTGAGGTGCTGAATAGCTTCCTCCTGTTCCTCTTTTCCGTCTGGACACATTCTCTTCTAGTCTATCCTTAGAACAGTTATGATTAATTTACCTGATATAGGAGTTAGGTTGATGGGCCTGTAGATGCCTGGGTTTGAACTATAACCTGTATTATACCATGTTAGACGCCACAACAGCAGTCACAATATTTTTTCCATGGAAATTTATGTTCTGAAACAGTTTTGTTCAAGTATTTTGTTCTACCCTTTCTGACCTGGTGATGCACCCAATGTCAAGCCGAGTCCAGCCTTACCTTACTATTCTTTGTGCAGTCACAGATCTCAGCAAAGCACTGCAAGGGAAATGTTCCATTAGTTAAGCATTTTATTGAAGAAAAATACAAATAAGATACCGTGGGCAAAAATTCTGAACCGTGATAATAATCACATGGACCAAATATGAAGTCAAAAACCATCAATGGTTAACGCTAGTGAAAACTTTTTAATACAATGTGCGTGCCTGAAGCTGGTTCAAAATAGTTCAATGCCACTATCCTTGTTACCACAAGAAATACCACATTTTCTCCTCTATAAGTGTAAACTAAATCCAGTTACTTGCACGATACTTGCTCATTTCCTTTGTTTGGTTATTTTATCCAATGAAGCTGATTCAATCAGAGATTCAAAGGCAGGCAATGTGGGTAGTCTCTGAATCAGAGATTGCACAGAGAATGTAGCTTTGATGTGCATTGCACGAAGGCAGTCAAAAGAAGGCTCGCATCAACACTTTCCTCTTTAAACCAAGAGAGCAGGAGTGTCAGGCCATACATAACAAATGTCTAAGCCAAACCAAGTTTCCCAACTGCCATCGGGAGCACAAAGCAAGGGTTGGGACAAGCTCTGCAGCACATTCAGGAATATTGGAGGTGTCAAATGTTGGATGTGGACCACCATCAATTGTCAGGCCTTCAGCATCTCTGCCCCCACTCTTTGGAACTTCATCCCACAGGCACTTTGAGTTGCTCGCTCCCTTGCATCCTTCAAGGCCCGTCTCAAGACCCTCCTCTTTGACTGTGCCTTCGGTCACCCTCCTACCCCTACCCTCCCTGTCCTCCACCCCTCCTGATCCCAACCCAGCTCGGGTATAAACCCCTGACTGTTCAGTGCCTTGGGACATCCTCCTGATGTGAAATGTAATTTGTTGTTGTTTTAGACCCCATTTGTGGTTCAGGTGGAGGTCTGTCTAATCAGGCTAAATGCTACAGGTTTGGAGTTTACAAGATGATCCGAAAGGAAATTCAAATTTTGGCCAGTAATGCAATACAGTAACCACATTTTAGTGAAAATCAGAATAATCCTCAGTAAGTTGGCAAGCTTGGGAGAGGAAATAGGTGGCGAGAAATATGTTGGTTTTTAACCACTATTTTTGGTAGCTGTAAAATTGTAACCTACCAGACTTGTACCTGTTGTATTTACACTTCTTAGCCTGCCTCTGGGAGGGTTTATCTTCTGGTGTCAGCCTTTGCTCTTACCTTGCTGTTACTTGCGATCCTCGTGAAGTTTTCCATCCAGGCATTGACATCTATCTTCACTCCAAGGACTGCAACCGAATAAGAAACATATACAGCAATATTAGTGCAACAGCCTTGTGGTGTTGTCTATCTTTTACTCACTCTTATTTGGGTTCTCCATCCCCAACTGGCTTTGAGTCATTGCCCATGAAAGGCAAGCAATATGGGTAACGTGCTAGCTAATGTCAATACCACTCTGTTGCCAGTCAAGCAAATGGCTTGTGAATCCAAAAGTTTCAATCTCCGTCCCTCACTGTGAGCCTTCATACCTGAGATTGGAACTGACTGAGATACGGTTTGCTAATTCTTTCCTTTTATATGCAGGGTTGGTGGAAATTCAATTTTAATTTGTTCTAATTTTTGGATAGATAATATCAATGTTTGGTTTTAATAATTATTTTCATCGATGTTTTCAACTACAAAAATGGATGGATTTAGGTTGACCATGGAAAGCTGGGACATTCCAGTGCGGCAGGTGTCCCAGTATGGTCTTTCAGTTGTTTTTGGTGAACAAAGTTAGGTCCCCCTCAAACCCTGTAAGTCAAATTGGACCGGAATGCCTTCCTCAAGGGAACAAGGGTGGTCCACGCTTTCCCCCCCTCCCCAAACTCTCTAGGTCGCAAATTATCAAAGGACGATGCAGAACTAATACCTATCTTCAAGTCCACCTGAGCAAGTCAGGTGACCAGATTATCTCTCCGGCCGGGAAAACCCAGCCTGAGTCAGATGATCAAGTGCTCAAGTGAGCTCTGCATCCCAGTATCTCCACTTCCTCTTTGTGAGGGTGGATGAAACTCCTCAGATCGGATGTCCTGCAACACAGTAACTAACAGCAGGCCGAAGGCATAACTTTTACCAGGAGCTCAATCCTCCCTTAATGCATTATAGGGAGATTCGGTTGTGCCCCTGTAATACACGAGTGAATCTCAAAAAGAGATCTTTCTGGCAGGAGTAGATGATAAACAACAACAACTTGCATTTGTATAGCTCCCTCCAGCCAGGTTTGTAGCTCAGAGTGTTTAACAGTGGCAGAGCCTGACTCAGAGCCAGGGGGAGGGGGCAGGTGGCCGCAAGCAAGGTCGAAAAGGAAAGTTTTCAGGCGGGACTTGAAAAAGAAGAGAGAGGGGGCAAGGCAGAGGGATTGAGGGAGAGTGTGCCAGAGTTTTGGGGCATAGTGGCTGAAAGTGTGACATACAATGGCAGGGCGGAGGGTGTGAGGGACGAGCAGGAAGCCGGTGCCACTCGAGCGGAGGCGCTGGGTACGATAAGAACAGATACTACACTTGATACTGCACCAAAAGGCTGAGAAGCAGTTGTTATTCTTTGCAAAGGGTAGTTTATCAATGCAGGCTGTTACATACATAGATACATATAATATGTATATATATACATTATAATAATCTTTGTATTTGATTTAGCACTGATCTAGACGTCTCAAAGCCCTTCACAGAATATACTATAAGGTGAATTGACTGTATATTTTGTGGGCAAAACGTGGCAGCCAATTGCATGCAGCAGTGTCCCACAAACAGTCGTGGATTGAGTGACCAAATTCTTATTGTTTTTATTTCTTCAGGGATTATTATCAGGCGTGTGGAGTAAGAAAACTTGCCCAAGGTTTCACCCTGCCGGGAATCAAACCCAAGTCTCTTGCTTGCGAGGCGAGTGCTCTAACCATTGAGTTATAGGACTCCGAATCGACTGGTACTGGCCTCCTGCTCGTCATTTGCACCCTCTGTCTTCCCTCAAGTATGCCTCAAGTTTTCTCTTAAACATGTGGATCCTATTTCCTTTAACCACCGCTTCCATTGAAAATTAAAACTAAAATTTATAAATCAGTTGTTGTTCCTGTTTTGAGAATAACATTGTGCGATTTTGTGAAAATGGTCTCTGCAGCTGTTGAGCCGGTCAGAAGCTAAGCAAATCCACAGATTTCACTGTGTCAGGGAATACTGGTCTAAATCATCTTTAAAACTTTTTTATAGAGCCAGGGTTCCTCCTTGTTCTTGGCTGTTTCACTTGTGTATGTTACAGGGTTGAACCACGGGTTCAATAACAGGTGCTTGAGGCTTTGATCGGGACTGAGTCCACAGTCGAGGTTGATGTACTAGCAGAGTGCTAGAGGTGTACTACCCGCCCAGTTAAAACCGAGGTCCCATCTGCCTGTTCACTGTGGTTGTTAAAGATCCCATGGCACTATTCGGAAAGAGAAGGGAGTTTCTTCCTGTGTCCTGGCCAACAACACACACCCCCCACCCCGTTAAAATTGATAATTCACTTCATGGCTGATCGTGGGACCTTCATTTGTGCAAATAGGTTGCCCCATTTGTCTTCAGTTATTACACGCTGCAGTAAATCCTGTGCAGCATGTCTCCCTTCTAAACTATTATTTAAAAAGAAACTATATTGAGCAGTTCAAAGATAATCATTAGTATCCTACAGGCATAGAGAGAAGCTCCTGCTGATTCCTTCTCTTTTCTAACTCAGGTTCTACTTTACCAAGCAATCTACTTAGGAATTCAGATGGGAGGCCCTTCAATGACTTGAATTGATCTGTTTCTGCCAGTGATATATAACTGCAGGGAGTATAGTTTATTGAGCAGACACAAAGAGGCTAATTATAATCTTGAAGCAGCAGCTACAGATATCATACAGTTTATAGTTCATTAATTATTCTGGCACTAAAAAGGAAGGATTCGGCTATTATTTTAAATTACTGCCAGTAATGTCATTACCCTACCATAAAATATACAGCAGACTCCAGTTAAATGCACAGCTGACATGAAATGCACAGAATAGCAATGTGATAGACCAGACTACATGCTGTTCACTGCATTGTATAATTTCACCACAAAAATGCAGAATAACGGAATTTAAAATTGATCGAAAATGCTTTAGTGTGTCCCTTGAGCATTAATCTGCGTTATAATGAAGTTGGGATTCACACGGGCCCTGTATCCAGCATAAATTACTGATTAAAAGAGGGAGTCCTGGCTGATCTTTCCTGATTGTGTGTCATGGGTTCTGAGTGTGGATACTGTTGTATTAATTGAGATTAACTTGCTCCAACACTGACAATGGACCAAATGAGACTCTGATACTTGAGGTTTAAACATCAGGTAACGTTATCGATGAGATAATGTTTTATACTTTTAGAAGGTTTATCGATTTTCATGTCCTCAATGTACAATGTGTAAATAATGGGGTTTTGTTTGCAGTTTTCCTGAGGGCAATTCATTAACAAGAAATCTAACCAAACAAATGGGATGTCTTTCAATCTCTGGTCAGGCTGTACCTAGAGTATTATATGCATATACTTTATAGAGTACTAGTATTATATACTATATGTTAAGAAATACTTCAAATTAGGCTTCAATATTTAACAAAAAGGGTAGAATGGATCAGATAGGAACAGGAGCATCCGTGCAGCTCATGTTAATATTTAAAACCCAATATCTCCATACTTTCAATATCTGATCTTATCATGTATTCTAATAATAATCCTTGCTCTTGATCTTTAGTGCCTCTTACGTCAGGAGGATGCCTTCAAAACGCTTCACAAGATTTACTGTAAAGTGCAGTGACTGTATTTGGTGTAGGCAAGTGCAACAGTTAATTTGCACATAGCAATGTCCCACAAACAATCAACTATGTATGTGAATGACCAATTTTATATGGGACATTGTTGTCCAGGACATCAGGAGAAATTCCTTTCTCTTTTTGAATAGTGCCACTGGATCTTTAACGTTCATCTGAAGAAGCACAGATGGACCCTTGGTTTAGATTCTCATCCGAAGAATGGAACCTCCAACAATGTTGTGCTCCCCTGCACCATATTGAAGTGTCAGTCCTGCCTTTGTGAGTTCACTTATGAGAGATTTGAATGCACAATCTTCTGACTCAGAGGTGAGAGTGCTACCAACTGAGCCAGGCTGATTTGTTTTACAATATGCCTCAGTCTCACTCAAGGCCATCCGACTTAAAAAACAGATCCTCACCATTGAATCTCTGCACAAGTGAAACCGTGATTCATCAATAATGTGCGCAGTTTTACTCTCATCCATCCATCTGCCCATGGAATGATCAACAGAATACACCCTTGTGTTATTCACCATGTGTTTTCACTCAGAAGCTGCCTAGTTTCACGTCGGTTTGACCTCCCATGTCTGCGTGTCACGTAATCTTCCCCGGTTGAAAATATGAACCGATCTATCAGCGGCAGCTGACTGAAACATGTGAAGTGTGAAGCAAACACGTACCTGCAGGCATTAGAGTTTTCCGATCAACCTTGATTTCAACAGCTCTGCTGGCCATGATGCCAGATTCCGCACTGCTCTGTATTCCGTCCCAGGTTTCTGAAATTAGAACGAAAAAGAATAAGAAAACAGTGACTCCTATCCCTGTGTAAGTAACCACATATTTCCATGTAGTGGGAGAGCTGCACCTCAATCAAAAGGGGCATTATGTTTGTCACGGTGTAAAAGGCCATTTGACGTAATAGATTCAAATTCAGTAAAGCAGTAAAACAGTGAGAACGTAGGTTATCGCAATGTACACTATTAGATTTTACAAAGCTGCCATAAAATAAACACAGCTGTTTGGAAAAAATAGCACAGCCACAGCCAAGTCATTAATAAGCAGGAGTCACATACATTTGATTCTATGTGGCTTCCTTGAGGTCAGTGCTTGGGCAAAGGGCTGAGTTCTCAGATTTCACTGTGAATCATGGTGCCAATGGCACCATTGGATTTGAGTAACAGATGTGATGGGGTCAACATAGTAATATATTCAATGTTTATCACATGAAATGTTCCTGGATGTGTGTGGGAGTCCTTCCCCCTGCTTCCCAGCAGTGTATGGCACCTCCCACCTTGTTCATGATACTGTTCTCTATAATGCTGTCTCTGACACTGGATTCACAGCATTGGAAGGATTCAATCTGGTTTGTCAGCGTAGCTGGTATCCTGAAAATGTCCAATGCTGTGAAAAACTTGCATTATTCTTTGCGTACTCCCTCCTCGTGTCTTGTCAACTACCATCCCAAGATTTATTGATTGCGTTACCAGTACATTTTCGTATCACTCATGGCCAAAGTAAGGCGAGATGAACTACTGAACATGAATGCTTCTAGGCTAGTTCCAAAATAAGTTCAATTTAAATTCTCACAGGTTAAGTGATGAGGTACTAGAGAGTGTTGTTCAGCACAGTTGCTATTTCAGAAAGTATTTTTGAATCTGAGAATTAGGCTTTTCTAATGAAGCAATCCCTTAAAAGATAACCACAAGTTAGACTGCACTGTGTAAAGGTTGTCTGATCTGGATTCACAGAAGCAATGGAGTCTTACTGTTGATATACGGTGCTGTGAAAATGTAAAAGTTGTTGTTTAGGCTTCTTTTGTAGTAGCTTGCTTCATACGTCTCTGGATTTGCCGTCCATTCTTCTCCAGCACTAAGCAAAGAAAAATCGTTTCAAAGAAAAATCGTTTCACCCAAAAAATACACAGTCACTATACTTTACAGTCTGTTTTGTGAAGTGCTTTGAGACGTTTCAAAGACGTGACAAGGAGCTATATCAAATGTAAGGATTATTATATTATAAGCAATGAGATGAATTCTACCAAACTACTAAAGTGGGAAGACATGTACTAAAATAAGCAGAATAATCTGTTTCATACGACTTCAAAAGAGGAAAGAAAATACCCGCAAAATATATAGCGTACTTTGTTAATTTCATTTTCTTTGAAGACTAAAATTACGTTAACCGTGCAGTGATTATCTCTGGATTAAATTAGCATTGAATTCTACACCAACTTTTTTTTGGCACTGGGAGGGGGAGGGGACGTCCATCTTACTGAAGGTTTAAAAAGTAGCAAAAAGCAGCAAACTTGTCATTATCTTTATCATGGGGATATGCCATTACATAGATGTGACAAAGAGATAACTCTTTGTGTAAGATAAACTTTCAGTGTGAAATAAACATCCTCTTTTTTTTTAAAGAAGGGATTTCCTCCACTTCTTGGTTATTACTATGTCATTCACCACCCCTGGACCAGAAAACAGACAGGGATGTCCCACTTTCTGGCAATGCTAGAAACAAAGGAAAACAGGAATAGGAGTAGGCCTTTCAGTCCATCAAGCATGTTTATTAGATCTCAATTCAATTCCAATATTCCTCTCTTTGCCTCATCATGTAAGCTCTACCACCTAAGCATCTGACTATCCTTCTTTTAAACACGCTGCTACTTCTACCTATTAAATCTACAAGAAACTCGAATCGTGTTTTGAGCACATGGTAATATAGTCTCATTGTTCACAATTCTGAGGTAATTTATAAACAGTTAATATAGCCCAAGCAGATTCTTTGACCTCATTGATTTTTTTTAACCAATCGTGGAGCAAAGGGGGGATAAACCTTCTAGCACTTGGGCATACTCTTAGTGTGGGTTATACGTCCTGACAACAGCTAAATGTCAGGCTTACTTGAGGTTGATATATCTCGACAGGTTGCACACTATATATATATATGCGTGTGTATAAGTTGACTTCAGTTTCAAATTTGAAGCCAGTTTTCTCACTGACTTGACGAGGTGAATTCTTCTTCACCTTCACTGGCTTCACCAGAACGAGGATTTTATACATCAGCGTCCCATCTCTCAAACAAATATTTTACATTGAAGAGCCCAGTGTATTTCAACGTGTTTTCATTGAACCCCTGCCACACTTTTAACATGAGAGAATGATCGATAGTGTTGTCCCTCTCCTCCCCCACCTCAATACTGCAGAACAACATTTCCATTCACATCTATCATAGTGTAACCAAGGATAGGAAAGGTTGGAGCAATAATAAGTTGACAAGACATTCACTGTTTGCTGCAGGAACCTACCGTTTGGGATAGATTCGTGTGATTCCTCCATCAGTGGCTACAAATCTGGCGAGAACTCCGTCCCTATTTCACACCGAAACATAAATGTTATTAATAAACAGATATCAGCTTCACTGGTCACTGTTAAACTGTTACGGTGTAAAATTTCAACTGATTTACTGTATTTATGTAGGATCCAGAAGTTGACTTCAGTCTCAAATATGAAGCCAGTTTTCTGTTGTTCCTAAAAGAACCTTAAAGGAAAAGCAGCTTCAAACGTAATGGAGGATATATAGGTCCAGGTGGAATTTTAACCAAAAAATATAATTTAACTAGTTGCAAATATAGTACAGAATATATGCTTGGTTCTTCTCTAAAGAAGATTATAGGGTTAAAAGCTCAACTTTAATATGATGGGTGTTTAGGGTGGCCTGTGAGATCACTGCTTATTGCAACTAAAAACTTTGAAACGCCATTCACTTCATACCTGTTTGTGAAACATTGCTGTGCACAAATTGGCTGCTGTTTATGCCTATAAATACAGTCACTGCGCTTTACAGTAAAAAACCATGAAGTGTTTTCAGATGTTCAATGATAAGGCACTATATTAAATACCACCACACCTTTCATATTTCTCTTTACAATAGAAATTTACATTAGAATGACACAATGAAAAGTGACTATTCAGCAACAGGTTATGGTGTGTCACTGATCCTCTACGTCAACGAGGCCCTACTAGGTTTACGAAGGATTAATCTTTACAGTGTTTGCTACTTAACTGCATCAAGAGTAAATCAAGAGGTTTGTGTGGTGACTGGCTTGGTGGTGAAAGAAAACAGCTTAGTGCAGCAAAAAGGTTTGCCAATAAAAATAAATATTGTGCAGAGGGTAAACATGAAATGTAAATATGTTTATATAGTGAAAGGCAGCAGGTATAAGTTAACATTGTAGAAATATGAAACATCTGCGGTGGGAGAGAATCATGGTGTTGATAGCAGTTTAGTGATATCCTAAAGCTCAGGAAGCTTTTTTGATGCCTATTTCCCTGTTCAACATCCCAGGAATTAAATGGTTATCATTTATTTCCGAGCCCATTTTCGTAACTTAAACCAAATACTAAATTCGCCTTTACTCCAAACACGTTTGATAAAACCATCTCAATACATTCTACATCTTTCATTTTTATTTGGTTACTTGTGTTCTTTCCTTCCAAATTAAGCCAATAAAAAAATGAGGACATTGGCCTACAGGACCTTCAAACCAACAAGGTCATTAATGATTTTATCTTAATATTTATTGTCCTATTTTATATGTCAATCCTGATTATTTTACATTTATTTCCAAGAACTAATGTCAGCCTGACACAAAATCAGGGAATAAAAAGCTACGCACAGAATGTATCGGTTGGTTGAATTTGTCTACATAAAACTGACCTGAAATTGACATGAAACCCATTGATTTAAAGGGATGGTGCAGATGCAAAGTGGGAAATGAAGCTTAATTACAGTATCTGTGATGTTTGAGTTTGAAACCCAATAAACATAACCCAATAAGCATATCTGTGCCATGACCCGCTCTGCCTTCCTCCACCTTCGCAACAACGCCCGGCTTCGACACTGTCTCACACCTCCGACCACTGAAACTCTCATACACGCCTTCATTACATTGAGGCTCGACTATGCAAACTCAATGCCTGTCGACCTCCCCAACTCCTCCCTCCACAGGCTGCAGATCATCCAGAACTCTGCAGCCCGTGTCCTCTCCTGCACCAGGTTCCGCGACCCTATCACCCCCATCCTCGCCTGACTCCACTGACTTCCCATCACACAGAGGATACAGTTCAAGATCCTCGTCCTCACCTTCAAAGTCCTCCATGTTCTTGCTCCCCCCTACCTCTCCGACCTCCTAACCGTCTACCATCCTGTTCGCTCCCTCTGCTCAGGGGGCTCCGGCCTGCTTCACGTCCCCCGCCTCACTCGCCCCACTATCGGCGGGTGGGCCTTCCGCCACTCTGCCCCCACCCTCTGGAACTCCATCTCGCCCCCTCCCTCGCCACTTTCAAGACCCACCTCAAGACTCTCCTCTTCAACCGTGCTGTCGATCTCCCTGCTTCCCTCCCTTCCCTCTACCTCACCGACCCTCAGCTCAGGTCCGTAACTCTGTCTGTCCAGCACCTTGGGACGTCTTCCCGACGTGAAAGGCGCTATACAAATGTAATTTTGTTGTTGTTGTAAAGCACACATGTCAATACAACTGATGCTAACCAGTGCAGCGCTAGGGGGAGCCCTGCATTGTCGGAAGTGTCTTTCAGATGATGTGTTAAACTGAGGCTCTGTCTGCCTGGTCAGGTGGACATTAAAGATACCTGGCACCAATCGAAAAGAAAAAGGTGTTTCTCCCAATGTCCTGGCCACCAATCCCCCAAATAAAATTGCATTCACTGCATGGCTGTTGTGGGACATTGCCACACAAAAATATGCTGCAGCGTTCACTAAAATGCAAAGATTATTATGAATTCCTATCTGAGGAACTCCTGAAAACATTTGCCTTCTATACTAATAATAATTATTGTGAGAGTCTCAAAGCGCTACACAAAATAATACTGTAAAGTGAATTGACTGTATATTTTGTGGGTGAACCTTCCCGTCTGAGAAATTATAAATCCTGAAAACATTCCGGTGAATGTATTTTTATTCATTAAGGTAAGGAATGCTGGAGACCAAATTGTTGGCAACTCTTTTTTATAACCTGTGGTAACTGTGAGAACTCTCAGGGCAGGAACAAATGAAATGTAGAGTAAAGCTTCCTCAACTCTGCACCACTGGTTATGAATATGCTCCCTACTGCCTCATATGAGCTTTCTAAAGGAGTGTAAAAACCGATTCTTTAAGAATTATGGATAGTTTTCTGACAAAGAGCTGGAATGAAATTGCTCAATCCCAACTCATTTAGAATTCTTGCAACCTGCACAGATCACATCAATCTCAGCAGCATTTCAAAACCTGGTTCCTGAGGTGAAAGAAAACTGCATAGACCAAGTGTGACAACCAGCCCAGCCTGTGAATGTCAACCAGCCCAGTGTGTCAATTTGTCAACCTGTTTGCAAACTTAAATGTGTTAGAAAAAAATCTATTAATTGCAGTGATTCACACATAGTTTACAAAATAAGACATTTGGGCACCAGGTGTAATTATAACTCTAACCTTTTCTTCTTCGCAGTATAGAAGCAGATTTGAGTGAATTAAAAAGTTTTTTTAAGATCACAGTGAGGTCTATATTGTGATGTTTTCTAACAGAAGTGGGTCATGTCAAAGTGGAATCTCCACAAGGCAGTGTGGTATTCTTCCAGTTTCCAGAAAGTAGTCAGTACTTATGGTTCTGAGTAACAAGGCTATGCACTTCAGTGTTTTACTTTCTGTAAACAACCAGTGTCTAATATTTATCCTCTAACTTCACACACACACACGTACATACATATAAATACTCAGTTTCACTGCGCAATAAACCATGAAGCATTAAGTTTCCTATCTTGCATAGTGCAGATCAAGTGAACTATAGTGAGTACTTACGGCTTTTGTTTGGACCAATATTTGGTAACAAGTTCGCTTGTAAATCCTGCATCGAGCAGCAGATTGTTGATCAGATCAGTTTTACCTAGGAGAAAAAAGGGAACGAAAAGTGAATGCAGAAAACAAACACAGACCCACACAAGCAGACGTTAAACACCAGCCAATTTGAATATTTAAAGTTGTGAAACATCAACGTATTTTGTTTCGAGAGCCCAATTGTTTGTGAGATACAGTGGACAGATACGAATATAATATATATATAAAATATNAAAAATATAAAATGCGGATTTCCATGGATCCTCTCTCTTTATGATATACATTTATTTTACCAGCAAAGTTTTTTAGTTTATTGCCAGCCTCTAACAACTGACTCTAATCCCTCCACCAGTGCTGTCTTAGACTCGGTGGAGAAGGAAGAAGAGTGGTACAGATTTTAAAAAGATTAAAAGTAATAAAAAAAACTGCAATGAACATTATGGCAAATAATTGTAAGATCATTGTGTAACATTGATTCCTTTTCCCCGCACCATGTTCATCACACTCAGCTGTGTGACAAAGGTTCATACTTCTCTGACAGAACAAGGATGGAATATTATGCTCCAAGTATATAAAAAAAAATTCCTTTAAATATTCATAAGTTTATAAAATATTGGAACTGTGAAAAGGACTTTGGTTCACTGAAGCGCTTTCATCTTAAGGTATTTTACAGTAAATGCGATAACAATAGGCAAGCATATTAAAGACCTGATCTACCACAGAACTGGCAAAAAGAGACAAATCAGACAGGACTGGAGTTACAGAGAGCAGGCAGCAAGTGGCTGAAAGCCCTCCCACCTAGAGTGACACAGAGAGCGCGGGGAATGTGGAGTAGGCCAGTGTCGGCTGAGCAAAGGGAATGGCCAGGTTGAAGGAAATTAATAATAATATTAAACCTCGAATTTGATATACCGCCTGATCACATCTTCTAGACATCTCAAAGCTCTTCACAGAATATACTGTAAAGTGTAGTTTTGAGTGTGTGAGAGAGGGAGAGAGAGCGTGAGTGTGTGTGAGAGATAGAGAGTGCAAGAGTGTGTGTCAAAGAGCGTGTGTGGACATAACAATAATAATCCTTGTATGAAAATAATAATAATCTGTGCATTTGACATAGCGCCTTAGCACGTCTTCGAGACGTCTCAAAACGTTTCACAGAATATACTGTAAAGTTTGGTGACTGTGTGTTTGAGAGATTTTGTAGATTGCGGAGATGGTTCAGGGTGAGTGAATGGGGAGCCAGTGGAGCCAAGAAAGAATGGGGGGTGATAGGCTCACAGAGCCTGGTACAGAAGAGGACAGGGGCTGCAGAGTTATGGATAATCTACTATCTGAGCAGGCTCATGATATTCATTTCCAATGCAGTGGTGTGCTGATCCATTGGCAAACCAAATGTGTTATAATCAGTATTGTGACTGTCACAGAATAATGTCAATGTGGGGATTCAGTTTTTGGTTTCAAACCCCATAGGCTGTTCTCACCCACAGCCATTTCTGCTCTTCATTCAAATATTTCCCACATTATAAAAACAACACACAAGTTATTGCCTGTTTTGGTATATTGCTAAAATTCCAGATTTCTGAGAATTTCTGCACAGCATGAAGAGCTATTTGCTGCTGACATAATAAGATTAGTTTCAGTACATATCTTTTGAGGCATTTATATTGTATTTGGAATATGAAAAATAAACAGGTCATAAAAAATTCTGTATTGTGTCTTCTCTTCCTCTTTCTCAGTCCCCCCTCAGCAAAGACAGGCTCCTTATTAGAGTCCTGTAGCTCAGTGGTTAGAGCACTCGCTTTGCAAGTGAGAGGATCTGGGTTCAATTCCTGGTAGGCCGAAACGTTGGACCAGTTTCCTTACTCCGTACGTCTCTGTTTACCTAGCAATAAGTAGGAACCTGGTTCCTTGTCGATTGGCAGATTGCTTTTCTGGGGGGTAATAATCCCATCAAAAATAAATAATAAGAAGAATTTGGTCACTCAATCCACAATTATTTGTGGGACACTGCTGTGCGCATTTGGCTGCCGCGTTTTGCCCATAAAATTACCGTCAATTCACTTTACAGTATATTCTGTGATGCGCTTTGAGAGATCTCGATGATGTGATAGGTGCAACATCAAATTAAAGTATTATTATTATTATATTGCTAACTCACTGAACAGCATTGTTACAGCCAAACAACCAAAGACACTAGACAAACAAATGTGTGTGAAAAGATTTAACTGAGCTCTGTTAACTTTGGGGAGGAAAATTGTGAGCTAAATGGGATTTGATAATTATCGCACAGCGGTTAAATGAGGGAGTATTACAATCAGAACTCCTGTTAAAAATTAATAAAGTGTACAGACTTCCTCTCAGTCTCTTGCGAACAATTCTGTAGATAAATTAGTCTTTTGCTTCATGGCTGTTTGCGAGAGCTTGCTGAACACAGATTCTCTGCTCCAGGTGTCTGCAAATATAGTCATTATACTTAACATAACATGTAGGAGCAGGAGTAGGCCATTCGGCCCTTCGGGCCTGCCCTGCCATTCAATTATGGCTGATCTTCTAATCTAACTCCAGATAATAACCTGACCCTGCCTTATCTCCATATCCCTTAACCCCTTTTGCAATAAGAAATATATCTATCTCAGTCTTGAATATGTTCAAGGATTGAGCGTCAACAGCCCTTTAGGGTAGTGAGTTCCATACATTCACCACCCTTTGAGTAAAGAAAGGGCTGGCCTCTGATTTTAAGGTTGTGACCCCTGGTTTTAGTTTCTCCAACCAGGGGAAACAATCTCCCACTATCTACTCTATCATGCCCTTTGATGATCTTATAGGTTTCTATAAGATCCCCTCTAATTCTTCTATATTCTAGAGAACATAGGCCCAAATTGGTCAGCCTATCCTTGTAACTCAATCCCTTCATCCCTGGCACTAACTTAGTAAATCTACGCTGCACCCCCTCCAAGGCAAGTACATCCTTCCTTAAATAAGGAGACCAAAACTGCACACAGTAGTCCAGGTGTGGTCTCACCAGGGCCCTATACAGTTGCAGCAAGACTTCCCTACTCTTATACTCTAATCCTTTCATAATGAATGCTAACATACCGTTCGCCTTCCTAATTGCTGCTGCACCTGCAGACTAACTTTCTGTGATTGGTGTACAAGGACACCCAAGTCCCTCTGGACGCTAACACATTCCAATCTCTCCCCTTCTAAAAAATAACCCGCTCTACTGTTTTTGCTACCTAGGTGGATGACTTCGCACTTCCCTACATTATACTTCATCTGCCACCTACCTGCCCAATCACCTAACCTATCTATGTCTCGCTGCATTTTTTTAATGTCGTCCTCTGTGTTGACACTTCCTCCTAGTTTTGTGTCATCCGTGAATTTAGATATATTAACTTCAATGTCCTCATCTAGATCGTTGATGTAGATGGTAAATAGCTGAGGCCCAAGGACTGATCCTTGTGGCACTCCGCTAGTCACATCCCGCCAATCTGAAAAGGACTCCTTTATCCCTACTCTTTGTTTCTTACCATTCCCCAATCCATGTTAATATGTTCCCCCCAATTCCATGGGCCCTTATCTTTTGGACTAACCTTTTATGCGACACCTTATCGAATGCCTTCTGGAAGTCCAAATAGACCACATCCACTGATTCACCCTTATCTAGTTTACTGGAAATATCCTCAAAAAATTCAATGAGATTTGTTAAACATGACTTCCCTTTTGTAAAGCCATGTTGACTTGGCCTAATTACATTGTGCTCCCCTAAATACCGCACTACCACATCCTTAATCAACGATTCTAAAAATTTTCTTATCACTGATGTGAGACTAACTGGCCTATAGTTCCCCATCTTTTCCTTTCCACCTTTTTTAAATAGTGGTGTGACATTTACCATCTTCCAATCCATGGGGACTGTTCCAGAATCCAAGGAATTTTGGAAGATCAGACATAAGGCCTCCACCATCTCATAAGCTACCTCTTTTAAAACCCTGGGATGCAAGCCATTCGGACCAGGGGATTTATTACTTTTTAGTGCTAACAGTTTCCCTAGCACCAATTCTCTACTAATGAAAATTTCCCTAAGTTGCTCTCTGTCCTTATCCCTTTGGTGCATATCTACTGTTGGCAGACTTGTTGTGTCTTCTAGGGTGAAGACAGATGCAAAGTACCCATTTAGGGACTGTGCCATGTCCTTATCCCCCATTACAACTTCAACTTGCCAGCAATTCCCTATGAAGCACCTTGGAACATCTCAACATTAAAAATGCCAAGATTGTTAATCAAAGGATTATAAAGAATTATAAAAAGCAATAACATTCCCCTCTATCTCTTTCTCTATTTTTAATACTGTATTAAATATTGATGTTATTGCAGAACTGGCTCAGTATACCATTGAACCCCCGTTGTAGTATCTACTGAAACTGGCCATTCACTCCAAGGCTGTTGGTGAGACATTGCTGTACACAAATTGTTTTCATGTTTGCCTACAAAGTACAGTGACTGTTTTACAATACATTCTGTGAAGTGCTTTGAAATGTCTTCCTGATATAAAAGGTGCTATATTAAATGGAAGGATTATTGTCATTAATTACTGACTTTTGTTTTTATGAAGTCCGGGTAGATGTGTAAGCACCATCTGGTACTAAATCTGTCTGCCTCTCAAGTGGACAGTATAATTGTTGTTTGGATTTCCAATAGCTAATGGGATTTCTGACTTATATAGACACACGGCATCAGACTAATAGCACCAAATGTATCATCCCACTGACGTATCTCACCAGTCAGAAGTTTATTCATCTCAGGCGCTGACAGCATCAGCATCCAAGGCTGCACTCTCCACCTCTCAAAGCCAGTCAGGAACCTCGGTGTTCTGTTCGACCCTGAGCTGTCCTATCTCCCTCATATCCGCGCCACAACTGGCACCGCCTTCCATCACCTCCGGAATATCGCCAGACTACGGCACTACCTCACCCCTCACGCTGCTGAAACTCTGGTCCACGCCTTTATCACCTCAAGGCTGGACTATGGGAACTCTCTCCTCGCCGGCCT